CTTGGGGGCAGGGACGGAATCACTGGGGGGTTCCCCAGCAAGGGGGGAGCAGCAGCTGCTGGAGGTTTGAGGCAGAAGGAGGGGGGAGTCCCTGCCCCAGGGGGAGCTGCAGAGCAAGGGGCTTTCCGAGGGGGATGCTCCCCCTGACTGCCCCCGGCTCTGGGGATACACAGAGGAGTTGGGGCCCAGGGGCTGCCCAGGGGTCTCAGAGCGAGTCTGGGCTGTCGGTTTGATACAGCCCCGGTTGGCAGACAAGCTCCCCAGTAGCTCTATAGACACAGGGACGTTCCTCCTCCCAAATAGGGACAGCCGCACCCAGACCTGCTCCGCAGTGACTCCAGGTGTGAATGGCTGGGGCAGGGACCGTCTCTGTGTCGTGTGTCTGTACAGCTCCGAGCACACGGGGGAACTGGCCCACGACAGGGGCTCCTGGTAATTAATACGAGTCAGTAATGATTTTGGTTCCGGTTTCCGTGGAGCCAGGCAGGGGCTGTATCTGCGCTCAGGGTCTCGCTGGGCCGATCCTCCCCGTTCTGGGATCCCGGGAGCGCTGAGCCGGCCCGAATCCCTGGGTCCCGTCCTCTCCCCAGGGACGCCGGCTCAGCCCGGGGAAGAGCCGCCATTGCCGGTTGGGGGAGGGGGTGTGTGTCCCTGTATAACTAACCACAGACACCAGGGCTCCAGCTTTCTCACCCCCACACCCCACACCTGACAGATGCTGGTTCTATTCCTGCCGGGGGAAACAACCAGACTCAGCCGGGAAAGACACTGGCTCCCACCTGCCCAGGCAGCACGGGGCCAGGTACCAGGGCTGGGAGCACGAAATCACCATCAACCCCCCCAGAAACAGGTTTGTGCTGCCCAAGGAGCTGCCCCCGTGGGGGAGCCACTAAGGGCTGGGTGGGTGGGATGGGGACAGATCCCCAAGCGAATGCCCCATCTGAACACCCCCCAGACTCATTCCATATGTGGGGGGGGAGGGGCGGTCACTGGACAGATGCCAGATTGGCTTGGTGGGGACAGGGCCTGGGAGAGCTTCCCCCCAACGCACAGCCCCACCCCGGGGGTCCCACAGACCAGGGCAATGGAGGGAGCTACAGCTGCCAATAGAGCACCAAGTGAGACGTGCCTGTCTGGTCGGAGCCCAACGACCTCGTGGAGCTGGTGGTAGCAGGTGAGGGGCCTGACTTGGTGTCCCCGTTCCCAGCCCCACCCAGAGCTGGACCCTCAGGGGGTCTTGGCCCCAATGGGACACTCAGTGCCAGGCTCTGCCCTGACCCCTGGGCCCAGTAGAGGGGACGCCCAAACGGGGAGCGGGGATGGAGTCACTGGGGGGTTCCCCAGCCAGGGGGCAGCAGTATCCGCTGGAGTTTCAGGGCCAATGGCTGGGTGCCCAGTTCCCTCCCTCCCCCATCCCAGCCGATGCTCATTTTCATCCCATTGAGGGAACCGACCCACCTGGGTCCCAGCAGACGCCGGATGGAGAAGGTGAGCTGGAGAAATGGAACAATTCACCCCCCAGGAAACAGGGCTCCCCACTCAGACGCCCACAGGGCCATTCGGGCCGTTTAGAGGGGATGGTCCCTGCAACAGAACTGATGGGTTCAATTCTTCTAGATAGAGGGCGATGGATAGATCCATGGGGACGGCTGGCCATGGGTCAGTGGGAATATGGGTCCTTGGGAACGTAGGGCAGTGGACTGATGGGAGCACGTCTGGTGACAGATAGGAAGATGGAATAAGACTTTGTCTACATGAAAACGACCCAAAATGACGTGTGGTTCCCAAGCCCCACTGGTGATCTCAGAGCAAGTCGGGGCTGTCGGTATTAGCGCCCCCTGGTTTGATACAGCCCCGGTTGGCAGACAAGCTCCCCTGTAGTTCTATAGACACAGGGACATTCCTCCTCCGAAATAAGAACAGCCGCGCCCAGACCTGCTCCGCAGTGACTCCAGGTGTGAATGGCACCTGGCTGGGGCAGGGACCGTCTCTGTGTCGTGTGTCTGTACAGCTCCAAGCACACGGGGGAACTGGCCCCGGTAATTAATACTAGTCAGAAATGATTTTGGTTCTGGTTTCCGTGGAGCCAGGCAGGGGCTGTATCTGTGCTCAGGGTCTTGCTGTGCCGGGGAAGAGCCGCCATTGCCGGTTGGGGGGAGGGGAGGTTCCCTGTGTAACTAACCACAGACACCAGGGCTCCAGCTTTCACACCCCTGCACCCCACCCCTGACAGACACTGGTTCTATTCCCGCAGGGGGAACCGACCCGACTCAGCCGGGAACGACACCAGCTTCCACCCACCCAGGCAGCACAGGACCAGATACCAGTACGGGGGGCAGGAACTCGCCATCAACGACCCCAGACACAGGTTTATGCCACCCCCCCGGGGGAGCCACGAA